ATGCTTCTGTTGGAAATGAGTAAATGGCTGTAACTCTTTGTGTACTGTCTCAGCAATAGCCGCTTGTTGTAAAATCAACCCACGTGCTGTTGAAAATCGCCCCATCTTGTAAATCATTAACTCTCTATTCAATCACTCCAGACTGTGAAATATAAGCATAGAAGGGAGTCGCTTTCACCGATTGTGATTTCATATTAGATTACGTCACTGGATGTATTACAGTGATACGCGGTATAATGATCCAGGGAATAATGAGTAGCACAAGTATTGCCCCCTTGTGCCTAACATTTTGAAATGGAAAGGTGAGCAACGGCTCAAACAAAACGCGTTAACCCTGATTCCACTCACTGCATTTTCACGTGGCTATTGTCTTTATCAGTTTGGACATTCACTATCATGTTTGGTTTCTTGTCATCACATATTATTAGTAATATGATAATATATCGCATCTTTTTCATTTTCGGCTCAGTATCAACCAGATATACCCAGTCAGTTCATTATTCGGTTATATATACTCGTTCAAGAATAAAAACAAACAACCTCGGGTATTTTCGCAATTGTGTGGTCTATCAAATTGCTGTAGTAATCAATGTAAGTGTTTTTCCCAAGACAAATATTATCATTTGATAAAAAGTGTTTTGTAGTGGTTGTAGATCCGACATGTGTGCAGTGGCTACCCACTGAAAAGTTTCAAACCGATGGTTGAGGATACAGCTTGACACATGGGCAACTTCTTCTTAATTGTCAATTACGTGTTTCCATCATCCACTATCATTTGATGACAATGTACAGCATATCATAGAATTCAGTTCTGATCCAGATGCCAATATTACATTTCATCTTCACACTCAGTCTAATAAAGTCCTAACTAGTGATGATGATAATACTGTATGAGATAATGCCTGACAAACCCATCTACCATCATGGGAACTTCGTCACTTTCAACTTGAGAATTAGCTTATATCGATTCAGGCTGAACATCTATGCGATCATGGCTTCACAGATACAATGAAGTAATTTAGGCTGAGCTGGGGAGATCATTCTGCCACGCTTAAAATCTTATATCAGTGACTGAATTTAGCAATGAGAGAATATTCTAATTTTCACCTACTCCCATGTATCATATACAGTGAATACTAGCAACTTAGACTGAAGTCAGTGTAACGGAAAAATGGTCTGAAAATCCCTCTTATTCACCCTTTCTGACAATATTGTCACTTATTTGAACATTTTTACCCTCGTTATGGATATTGCACCTTTGACCCTAGACGATGTAATGTTATTTGATTGTTCGACTGTCTTCTTTGATTTTGCACTCAGTATTTACCCTTGCATGATTGAGACTTATCATGAATGTTTCACTTTCCTGTTATGTGACCTTGGATTGTTGACAACGTGACGTTGTTTTACTGCACCCGACATCTTGTTTTGGTTCAACATACGGTTGTACTGTGATTCGACTGTTTACCTTTTGACTGGCTACTGGAAACGTTTATTTGTTGATTCGATTCTGGTAGACAGAGTTTTTGATCCCTTTTGTCGGGAACATTCTCATTGACTTTCACGTACTGAACAGTTGTATTTGTTTAGACGGTTTTTACCGTATAGTACGTATTTGTGCCCGAAAACGTTTGGACTGCATAGTTAGTTACTCAACGGCACTGTTGAGGTATTTTTGTAATTTTCGTATAACTTATTATTGCTTTGATAGTACCACAGATTTTGTTAGGAATCTATCACTAACCGTGTTTTGATATTTTTGATGCAACCTTTAACTGTGCGTCACTCGCGGAAGTTCACAAGCTATAGAGTAGAACGCAGGATCTTGTCAGATTCGCGTTAGTCGGCATTGCCTAGTTGTTTCCCACGTTCAGGTCAAGATGATTGGATTTCAGCTGTTGCAGTCAGCTTTACATGATCGGTGTAAAAGACTTACTTTACTTCCTGATACTCAACTAACTAGATCCACTGAACTTCAACATGACTGATCAGTCATCGAGATGACGTCAGAGTAGTGCTGAGTGATAGTGTTGGTGAATATCCACGAATAAGCGATTTGCAACTAAATACAATCTACAAACTTCAGGATCAAAATTTGACCTGATCGAGTTGAGTAAGTTGAGCATTAGGTGAATGGATGACAGATGAAATATATTTGTAAAATTCGAATGAATAAGAGAAATAAATTTCTGACATTTCATAACATCGTGGAAATTGCATCTTCAGAGAATAAGGTCAGTATAAGTTATCGAATGTTTAAATTCTAATTGAAGACGAGACGTTTAACATTGTCTATACATGTTAGTAGTATGAAGATAAATGTCATTGTTATATTGGTCGGAAGGAGTGTCTTTAAAAGCCACCTTGGCCAACTGGTGAAATGATCAATGAGTTTTCGGTATTTCGTCTGGAAAAGTGCTTCCACACATAATAAAGGAATGTAATTGGCTGTCTTATCAGTTGCTAGAGTGGCCTTTAAAGTCACCCGTTAGTAAGCGCTCGAACATGTCTTTGTTATTCATTATTAGTCTGAAGTTCGAGGTGATGTGAACATGTGCACACGTGACTGGGTGTGAATGTGTAAGAAAAATGCTATGGATGGGCAATTATATTGAATCCTAAGGAAGTCCTAACTATCCAACCAACCTGGACAGTATTTCCAAGAACACCGCATCACATACTATGATAAGCACAAAAGTACATACACACATACAAATGGAATTTGCCATCCACAACACTTTTCTAACGCATTCACACCCAGTCACATGTACACATATTCACATCACCTGCAACTCCAAACTAGTAATGAATAACAAAGACATGATTGAACGCTTCCTGACCAACATAACAATAACATTCATGTTCATACTAGCAACATGTACAGATCAATGTCAAACTTATCACCATTTAGAATTTAAACATTCGGCAACCTGTACAAGTTATACTCTCTGAAGAAGTGATTTCCACAAAGTCGTGAAACATCAGAAATTTATTTATCTACTTCTTTGGAATTTAAAAAGTATATACTTCGCTTATAAATACAATCTGAAGAAATATACTGCTGCTGGACAAATTAATTAGTCAGAAACCACTCATGCTGGTCTCCACATTTTAACGTTCAGATCACAGTGACCGAAGCACTGTACAACCCCTCAACACATTTCTCTTCGAGATCATCACTGGTGTACACGGATGCATTCGTCTCATACAGCCAAGTTGTTCAGACCAACTGCATCTGACTAGCTGACTTGAGGTGACTGCTACAACACGAAGAGAATGATCAATTTGCGAATGATGAGTAAATCTCACTGTCCACATTGAGCGATTTTTCAACTGCCTAGCAGCGTGTTTCGCTATCGCATCACACTTTTATATCAGACATCACAGTTTTGATCTTTGCTGTTGGGTGAATTCCAATGGAAATCATGTTGACACCACAGTTGAGTAGATGAAAAACCACCTGGCTTTAAGGAATGTCAACATGAAGCATGATATTTCCTAATCATTCGCAAATTGTTCATCATACAATTCGGAGGTCAGAAGTGACCTGGTGTGCATAGTTTGTATCAATCGGCAAGAGAGTCTGAGTTCTTCAGGTGCCTTTTAGTGCCTTTCGCTCTTTCACTCAGGCTCTTAACTAAGACTACTTTAACTGAGATGAGATAGGAGGATCTGAAGTCTGGGTATAGATCTGAATGGTGAGGTTTCCTCTGGACACTAGTCTCTAAACTTCCGTCTTGTGTTTGCTAAATCTCCCAATTTAACACTGCCAGTTCAACTTCGTCACCTTCCAAGTTACAGTTAAATTGGATTGCATCCACTGTGTGACATTTCTAATGAACAGATTAAAATGGAATTAAAATGTATCACAGTACCCACGTACGTTTTGTTCCTACATTAAGGAAGTCAAATAAATTTTTTGTATTTCCTTAATCATCCAAAGTCGTTTGACTGTGAGTTTTATTGGCATGAGCATTATTAAACTAAGGTCTTACGGTGTTCCAATAACCAATCGTATTAGACAAAAGTGAGAAAATCGGCTCTGACGCATCTAAAGCCTTTGAAACTACCCTCACTGTTTTATATCTGTTACTGAATGACAAATATTGGTCTTCTTCTCTCATCCTGTTATGCTACATCAAGAGAATGAAGTAACTGAATCAATAAATATCTTCACTCTGAGAGTATAAATCTAGTGAAGCATTAATAGTATTGATGTAAAGTTAACTTGGAGAACAGTGTAAATGAATTAGATCTGATCACATCCCTATTGGACTGTTATTTATCGAGAATATTGAGTCACCACAGCATATCTGCTCACTAATAACTAGATTCTAGGGTGAGATGACACCAAGTTTTCCTCCCTCATACATGATTAGGAGCGTGGTAATCCAAACAATAAAATGATAATGAAGTTGTGAGTGAAAAACGAAACTGCTAACTAGTTAGATGTAAGGACTGATGCATACGTATGAAATTGGGTTTATGGTCACCCTATACATACTGAATGGACAAAAGTTGACAAATGTGGGTGCATTGATCCCACTCCACCAGATGGATTTCAAGAAACGTGCCAAGAGAACTGCACTTCAAATGTTTGATCCCTCACGAGATTATGGATGTGGAATGTTAAGGACTTCAGAACTAGGACGGAGGAGCTTCCCAGTGGTCTCAGGTTTTCAATTATCCTCTAAATTACCTTAATTCTTGGTGTGAACTACTTTCAAAGCATGTAGTTTATTCAAGTGAAAGGTTCATATTAGAACAAGTGAATCCGATCGATCGACATCAACTAGTAAAAGCACTGAAAACCAGACAGAATTGGACAGCTGTACTACTCTGAAGTAAACACTTAAGATCTCGTGCGCGATTTAGTCCAGTAAAATTATCAAATGTGATAATCGTAGTGATAGACATCTTAACCGATAAATCTTCCTCAAATTCCGAGAAGGTGGAACAGAGAATTACATTGATGATCGAAAATTTCACATCAGCCTAATCGGCGCCGACGCTCTTGCTATTGATCTAGTAATCCTAACAGCGATGAATAAGACATAGAGAGTAGGGTGATTATCAAAACAATGAAGTTAACACTTATGTGTAATCATTGGGTAAAAGAATTGAAGCATTTGGATATAACATAGCGAAGTGGTGAATATAAAATTAAAAGCATGAATAAACCATCAAAATAAATTTGTTCGGAAAGACAGTTGAAGACAACTGGTAGTCAGTTCCATGAAATCACTGCTGTAAAATATGTTCACTACTTGACTCTTGCACGTTGAATGCCGGAATTCCACTTATCACCCAGTCTTCGATAGATGATTCATCATATCCACGTAAAATTCGGAAGAAACCATTCTCTCCCCAATCTTCATTCCACACATTCGCACACAACCAATAGGGTGTATTGTCCTCTACTCCCCAACCAAGAATTCTGACATCAATCACTCTGAACAGTTCTGTGGATACACGCTTATAGATTCCAGATTTATAAAACAAGAAATCAACAGATGCGTAAATTTCTGCTTGAACTGGACCATTCAGGAAAATCTCTTTTCGAATGGATTCCTCATCAGCCTCAACGAAATATATCTTCGATCCTGTTTGTGTGGAGAATTCAGTGAAAACAATGGAATTAAAAAAGATAGATCTCATTGAGATTGCATCACATCATACCAATAGAGATAAATAGACAAATTTAGAACATCGCCAAAAGTGTATAGGTTCATTCCTTAACAGTTGACGAATACACAGACTGAAGAGAGGACCGAAATTAGGGGAGTGGTTCAACAAACAAGAAGGACACGAATGAAGACACACTTTGCTAGTGTCGAGTGATGATAAGATTTTCACAATTTCGCAGAAGATAAGAGGGTAACAAATTTGAGTGTTTGGACTGGAGTTTGTGCTCTTTCACTCAGTTTAACACACATGACTTCAAATGACTCAATAACTTCAGTCAGTTATTTCAATCTGTTCACATGGCTCAAAGAGGTGAAGAGATTTTCCCTGGTCACCCTAAGTTTACTCACAAAACAATACTTCGTCCGTCTAAGTAGTCTGTGACTACATGTGATGGGTAAGTATGTGTGATACTATAACCATCGGTTTCAGAAGGAGTGGATATAAAAGCCCATTAGACAGACAGTAATATTACTCACCAGTGAAGAAAGACTAAGATAGTAAACTCAACATTGAGTAAGCAGTCAGATATCTCATAGATATTGAGTGCAGTGTGGTTCAACAGTTGTCGATTGAGTCATTTCCAATTGTTCTGAAAACTCACAGTCGACCGGCTTTTTTGAGTCAATTGAAGTGAACTGACTGGTGAATTTATTATTATTGTACTCAACTACCACACAGCCTATGTATACTCGTGAACTCGATCATCTCTCATAGGTTGCAATGCAGATGAACAAAATTACATGATCTACTCATTCGGAATCGGAAGCAGAACTAGACGAAATTACCAGAATATCTGCAGTTTGAGTATCAAGTATCAGATAGAGTTCAAGATTTAAATGCCTAGATGAGAAGCACTTACGAAGAATAACGTCCTTCACTGAGACCAGAAATCGTCAGTCTTACTAAGTTGGAACCAATGAGAGTTCAGTAGACCCTCTGTCCTTTGACTGGGGCTTTCCAGTTTGAGAGAAGGAATGGTTGTGAAATCACGTCAGACATCATGATCAGTGAGATCGTCCTCATTTCTAGATGTCCATTCGAGTGGCTGTCCAGTGACGAGCTCAAATGGAGTAATTTGTAAGGAGGCTGTGAGAATGAATCTGGCTATTGGCTACGAAACACTATTTCATGATAGTCATCGATATCTTCAGTTCTTCATTCTCCTGTCAAAATTCTTGTACAGGACTGGTTTCCACTCTTTCTAGTCAATTTCGTCGTGGAAGTCTAGTGAGACGTTTCACTGTAATGTCATCTAGGTTCTCGAGGTACTGCCTAAACATAACTGACAAAACCACTCATCCACTGAAGCTGAAGCAGATGTTCAACTTCTCAGTAGATATTTAAAGCAATGTGTTACAAAGTTAATTTGTTTTTGAGCACAGAGTTAGTAAACTGGATAATAAAGGTTGCTTCCAACTTGTGCTACGGTCCTAGTATATTTAGCAATTTCAATTAAGCAAAGCACACTTACCATAATGTAGATCATCAACATAGGATACGTTGTAAGATTCTTGACATTTTTCCTCGCATGCGGACACCCGACTGTATTCTCCTTCACAAGTAGGATAATTTCTCTTATACACATGATCACATTTGGGAAATGGGTAAGGCTTACATCCTCTTCGACTTTGGAAGGACCCTCCTGTCGTCACTCCACTCTCCATCCACTGCTTCCATGCCTCTTCTGGATCACATCCATCACACCCTCGAGAACAGTGGTGATTACAGGTTAGTATGTCAAATGCACTTATTTCAACGTTAATGCTTCCATTCGAGTGAATACATATGCGGTCACTTATTGTTGCAGCTGGTGAAATTGCCTAGAAATAGGTCGATAACGAGTACGAGACATTGTTGCATGACTGAAACTAGGATGATGAATAGATAAATAAATGAATAAATGTGCATCATTGGATTCCAACCCAGTGGCTCAATGGTAACGTGCTGGCCAAAGGAGCAGACCTAAATGACTTGGTTTCGATGCCTGGAGAATTCACGGGTTCGCACTGTTCAAGAGTCAGTCCCATACTGAGATGAAACAGCTGTCCACTGCTCCCAGCTTTCCAATGATTCTCCAACTGACATCACTCCATGATGAATACAAACCTGAAATGCAATTTGATAAATTAAACACCAACTATGGCATATTTTTGTGATAAAAAACAAACGAATCTCGTTATTCATGATACATTCTGAAGAATTTCGAGATCACTGTTCAGAATTTTTCCAGTTAATGATTAATTCTGCTTGATCTTATCTGAACACTTGATCCTAGCATCCTTAATGCTAACAGCCTTTCGTTGTAGTCAGATGACTGATGCATGAAACACTACCTTCGTGGATTAGTCGAATATTGGCAATGTGTTCTCGTAAGGATAAATTTTACTTTATTGATTAGAGATGAGAAGTGCAATGGAGTAGCACAGTTTGTGAATTGAGAAGCTGCAAACTGTGACCATAAGAATCCTACAACCTAGAAGATGTCACATAAACGAACACTTTCCTCTTCATTTTGTCGGCTGTTCGCCAGCTGCCTACATACAACTTAAGATATTTACACGTGATATACAAGAATTCAAACATGTTACTTGTAGTCGAATGAGAGTTGGTCAACAGAAACGACATGGCTTAGTTAAGAATACAAACATCTAGATAAGGTTAGCAAAACATACTAAGGAGTTTCAGTGATATATTTAATTCGACAGAGAGATAGAGAAAATGATATGAGTAGTAACAAATGATTACCGAATATGATCTAAAAATGGGTTAGCTGATGATAAGTAACAGACAAACTAAGCAATAACATGATGAGTTGAAATTGGTTTGTGAAACGGTCACCAAATTTCTACATAGACATAAAAGGGTTTTATTTAAAAGATGATATCATCGAATAGGAAGGAGAGTTAAATATTCGGTTACGAGGGCAATGAAATACTTATTTATCATTGTTTCTTTATGAAGATGCAATTCCAGTTTAAGTTATTTGGTCTATTCAGTTTCACATTGTTTGCTGACGACCTCGAAAGAGGAATCATGGGGTATCTACTTCAAGTCACATGACAACAAGATGCCGACTGACAATGGTACTGACAGATTTTGTTCTTCTGACCCGTAATCCTTTTGGTACATGCTCAAAAAATCTGAAGTGCATCCTTCTCCCCGTTCTCCTGATGTAATTACTACCACAGATGAAGGGAAGTCAACTTGTACATACAATTAGAGGCAACATAGAAAGAGAATCTTTCGACCTTAATTTTACCAGGGAATATGCTGTTGTGTGTGTAGATAAAAAGATCAAATTAGCTGCAGGATATGTTCTGTTCGGTACACCTTTCGGCCTCCTATTGAGAGAGGCATATTGACTAGAGAACATCGTGAGCCTCTCAAAATACTCATAAACGATAAGAACATCATCACCACAAGACCTGATAAACGAGCTGGAGTCGTAATGACGGACAGAGTTGACCATGTACAGAAAATGGATTTAATATTGTAAGACGAAAGCAAATTTCAGAAACTACAGTCAACGAAAGACCTAATCGAGAAGCAAGAAAGGACCTAATCTTCTCACTAAAGAAACTGAAAGATGACGGATACATTTCATCAACTTTATTTGAAAATTGGAAGCCTATAGGCAGCACGATTTCATGGATGTATGGTCTACCAAAACTATACAAACCTGAGGTGCCTCTTTGCCCTATCTTAGACATGACCAGTTCGCCTTACCATGCTATCGCTAAATGGCTAGTACAATTACTTCAACCGTCGCCTGACCAGTTAGCAAAATATAGCGTGAAAGATACTTTCCAGTTTGTAGACAAAATAGAAACCTGAATGTTTTGAACAAATTCATGGGATCCCTGAATGTCACATCTCTGTTAACTAACGTTCCCTCAATGGAAAACATCGATTGCATTTGTGAACAATTACTGGAAAGGAAAGGAAAGGAAAGGAAAGGAAAGGAGAGGAAAGACACTGGAATTCCGATTATGAATTTGAAAGAACTATTGCTAAAATGTACAATGAATGTCCAGTTCATCTTCAACAGTAATCTGTACAGACAAGTTGACCGTATGGCTATGGGATCTCCATTGGCTTCAATATTTACCAATTGCCAATATCGAATTGTACTGTCGATACATGGATGATACGTTTTGAGTCTTTGATAGGTGCATATGTATTAACTCTATTCTGAAACATTTATTTCAACAGCGCTCATCCATCAATTCATTTTACATAGGAAAATGCAATCAGTGATTTGACACATATTCTTGATGTGTTAATGACAAGGAACAAACATGACTCTATACTCAAAAGTATATACAACAGAGAACTAACATCTAAGACACAGTTTGCACACTCTCTTAGCTTCAAAACCAATGGAGTACAAACGTGATATAAACAGAGTATGGCTTTTAGAGTAAGATCTAGCTGTGTATGCAAAAGGAACTACTGTGTATCCCTGGTATTCTGAGTGAAAACTGATACCTGGATAAGTTCATCAAAACTAACACCAACTAATTCGGTCCTAAAAGAGAACCGGTGACAGTGGAGAAGAAGCCTTTGTCTCTGCGCTCACAATTCAAGGGGGATGTGGCTAGTGACATTCTATCACAACGCCTAGCTAGAACAGTCAATAAACAGTTTTATGCAGGTCGGCTTTGCACATCATTCTGTAGTTGGTCAATGCCCAATCCGATACTGAAGTATAGCCAACCCATCCTTAGCTCTTCATCTTGAATATATATCAGTTTCACTGTTCCCATCGAACCAGTTACATAGAGCATACGATTAGGCAGATGCATCTCCGGATACGAGAGCATTTATCAATTTGATTTGGAAAGGGGAGGGTGAAAGTAGTTAAAAGTTCAGTCCTAGCAAATCTAGTCGACACAGGGCATCAGATGGATGCTAATAAAGCTTTCATTGTCATTCACCAGATGTAGCTCGCCAACGCCTGCTCAACATAGCGGAAGCTGTCACAATAAGATTGATTGATCAAGTTTGAACTCTGAATTCAGAAAGAACATGTCTAAGCACTACTCTGCCATTGACCTTCTGCAAAATAAAGACAACTCCTGACATCTTATCCGTTATCCTTTTACTCACCGTCATATCATTCTCCTGTATATGTTTCATCCCATTATATTATTGACTAATTAAAAAAGATTAATCGATTTCCCTACAATCCCTAGATCTCACTCCATTTGGAAAATCTGACCACCCATAACATAACTAACTTGTTTCTACACTGTATGTACAAAGACATTTTATAATTGTAGAACGTGAAGAGAATTTACTGTAGAGAATATTCTCCATTCAAATTGCTGCTTTATACATATAATCGGAATCGCTAGTTGTTTGGAACAGTGAGAAGCCAAGAAGTGCTCTAACCCACTAACAACTATGTATTGGAGTCTAGAGAATTAGAGTTAGGATTATAATTTGGCATGAGGGTGGACACCTCAATGATAAATAAAATAAATTACTAACTCTTTATTCCTTATTTCTCAGACTTTGTGTCATAAAAGGTGTGTAGACTACCTAACAAAGTGGATTACACTAGTGGAAAACCATTACACAAAACTTGATTTCCATTTATTTTGGCACATGTATAATCAAGTAATGCAAACTTCATAGTTATTCACTCGACAGTACGATGGACAGTCCAGGTCAATCAGCTAATCCCTCAAGGTCTTCACAATGTTTTGCCTCTACCACTTTCTCGCTCAGGTCAATTTGTAGACTTAGACTCTTCCGTAAACCTGTATTCACTGAGAATCTTATATAGGATTTTTGATATCTCATCTTTGTATGATTGAAGCATAGGCATCAAATTCCTTCTCCCTAGTCTGATTATCATTACTGTTGTTTGTATCCATGACTGCATTATTCAAAATATTTTGACCTCTGGTCCCCACATGTTTTTGAATAAGTTTCGGGGGTTTATTTCTTGAGCCATAGTACCACTTCTGTGTGATCAATTTGATGACATACATCTCTCCAGTTTAATGCCATCTCATATACCATGCTAATCAAGCATTCAGAGAGAATGTCAAGTTCCTTTCAGAAACTCATGCAATAACCAACCATTTCCATTTCTCCATTTCAGCTGCACTGATAGTTTATCACAAAGTAAAAGGATGTGACTGGTTGATTCAGCAATTGCCACACTCGCCTTCAGAATCATTCAAGCATTCACGAATCCTGTTTGAAATGTTACCCAGAAAAGATTTATATTTCATTGTATGATATGCACAACAAGAGGAATGAACTAAACTATCACCTACCAACATTCGTGTAAACTTGATGTCGATGTCTTAAATGTCATCTCACCTACATTAGCTTAAAGATTGAAACACTGAAAGCAAACATCAAGACACAGTGATCAGATGTACACCTACAGAAGTATTTAAGATCTATGACACAATCAGCTGAAAACAAAATATGTTGAATTGCTAAGCTGTGAATGCATATAGGATGTGGGAGTGAGTACAAGTGAGTGCGAAACAATTCCTTGTTCAGCATACACATAGATTTAATGCGATGAAGTTTTATCATGAATCAGCAGTCTAGTGAAAGCACTCAATTTAAATGAGGAACACTTGAAACTTAATGAAAGCGAGTGGGACAGTCAAACAAACAATTACCTCAGTAGCATTGTATAAAAAAACCATCAAGCCCACACTCAAACACTAAGTATTTTACTAGTCAATGTAAGTTCCTCAATTCATATCCCAACCAAAAACCCAGATATTCCAGTACACTCTTCAGGTGTCAACATTTCACAACAGACAACTTCGATTTCCTTCGTTGAAGAAAATGTGCAGAAAATTAAGTACTGAAGACTTACCCAGGCGGCATCACATCTACCCTCATCTGGAATGTTTCTTATGCTTGAACAGGCAGGCCAATTCTCTCTCGCGTCGAATGTTTCAGGTAGATCTATGTGTAGGTTTTGATATGACACAGTGTTCAAATTGGTGATATCTGCACGTCTTCTCACTTTTCTTCGTTCATTGAAGTGTCGTGCAATATTCTTAACATTTAAACTCTTGCTTCGTTCAGCTTTCCAACCAATTTCTGGCTATAGAAGTTCAATCAGACATTAGAAATTATTTTCACACATTGATTTATGCAAGCGAACGAGTCTAATTACATTTTTTTCGTGAACGTTTCCTCACCAGACATAGTGACATCTTCAGCACTAACCTCTTTATCAATTAAATGCTGAAGATGTTATTAGGCCTGGTGATGAAACCTTCACGAAATAGATATCAAAGCTTAGAGAACACCAAACCACCTTCCTCCTCATCCTCACTTACATCATTTCAGAATCGAATTGCACACATATCTAATGTAAACATACACCGATTATTTGACATTTCAGAATCACATGACTTCATTTGATTAGTTGGTAGGCAATCTGCCCCTACATATATATCCTTTCACCATCTTGAGTACGATACAGCCAAAATGATTCCAGAACCTATGATAAACTTCCAAGACGCTTTCATGAGATATTTTATAGTCGATTGGTTGTACATATCAGTTCTAGCTTCACAAAGAAATTCGGATGAGTGTGCGATTTCAAATTTTAAATCGAAATATATCGTAAGGTAGGGAAGTTCGAGTCGGGAAAGTTACTGCCTTATTTTTGGCCTCTTCAATAAGATTATGTGTACGTAAAGTGAGACTAGACAATCGCCTAACGTAGAATGTTCTACACTTCAACTTACTCGACTGTTCACATAGCTAACAATCTTCTCCGAAAGCGACTCGAAGTCGACTTCGGGCAGCTTTAATCCGTGGTTGTAAGTGACATACAACAAGACAGCGAAAATTGTGTATAACTTCATGACTGACTACTGCAACAGGCTAACTGAATTTTCTTTCGAATAAGCTTTCAATTTATTCGGAGACACTAAGGATAAACGATAACCTTATAAATACCACTTGTGTTAAGAAGATCAGAGATTCCAATGTCTCTTTTCTTACTGAATCAAAGTACAGTCATTTTGATATGAAAAATCGGAAATTCTATATCCCGAAACATTCAAAGAATCATATTACAAAGAATTACTGATTTCATTGTTTTTTTTCTGCAGCATTCACCTTTGCGCATAATATGAATATCCTTTTAGATTTCAACTTCAATTGTTTACGTAAGATTACTAAGTTAATTCTTCGTTCTATACTTTTTCAAAATTGGTGATTGTGCCATCTGCTGATATTCTGTACTTTAGACCAAAGACTTAGCCAGCGTGTAATTTTGAATTACTTACTCAGTCTCATCAAGCCTATGCTTACTTGATTGAGGCAATATGGTGACTATCATACAGACTCGAGATGATTTATAGAAGTAGTAGTAGTAGTAGTAGTAGTAGTAGTAGTAGTAGTAGTAGTAGTAGTAGTAGTAGTAGTAGTAGTAGTAGTAGTAGTAGTAGTAGCAGTGGTAGTGGAAGTAGTAGTAGTGGTAGTAGTAGTAGTGGTGGTAGTAGTACTAGTAGTAGTAGTAGTAGTAGTAGTAGTAGTAGTAGTAGTAGTAGTAGTAGTAGTAGTCGTAGTAATTCAGGTGTTACTAATAATAATTCTCCTACTAATGGTAATAATGGAGACAGGGTTAGAAGAGAATTCAAAGCCTCTGCGGTGTTACTATACAAGGAAGGCACCTGAAAAGCACTACCAAGAATTCTCAATAAGGTTGGGTGTGATTAAAGTGGTATTTAAAGCAACCAACTCGCCTAGAAACAAGCTTTGTAGGTTAAAAGATCCTATCGATGCAATTAAGCAAAATAATCTGGTTTACCAAATCCATTGCAATGAGTGCCAGATCAGATACATAGGTCAAAGAAGTCGAACAGTGTCGATTGGAATAACAGAGCACAAAAACTTAGCTAAATCAAGATTAGTTGGTCCTAACAGAATAAGAAATGTAGAGAAAAGCTCGGCTACAGCTCTGCATGCGATGACACACAATCACACAATAGGGTGGGTGGGATAGAGAGACAGCTTTAAGAAAAATTAACTTAGTTGGGTGGACAGCTCTCCTTTAAAGAATACTAACCATTTCACTCCCATGTTAACTCACAATGTACATTAAGATGTGCCCTTCTGTCATCAACAGAAACACAGTTACATGACACTAGGTTGACTGAATCAAACATTGAACACGATTTATTGAAAGGTTAGTAAGATGTGCATATCTGTATTAACATTTCGTGAAATTTTGCGCTTCCCATTTACACTCCAGTGATGATATTTATACGCATATAGAAACATCTCTTCTCACTTGATGCTTTGTTATTTTATGTAGCGAACAAACCTGCAGACTTGACTTAACAACCGTCCTCATACTACATCTCGTCATGAATTTCAACACTGATCTAATTATATTCACAGAAAAATGGATAGTGCATACAGACAAAGTCTGCTTTTATAAATGTTTAGGAAGAATGTAGAGTCTATGTAAAGCTATTAAAAGAAAGGGAACATACAGAATTGTTTGGATGTTTTTGATGAAGGAAAGCCGTTTTAGTCTAGAATGAACGGTTTAAAATTCAGATATCAGACTGTGTATTTTGTTTCCGCACTGCAGCTTTACCCGCTAGAGAGGCTACTGTAATAGAAAGCAACATATTTAATTGATGAGAAGGGCTTCAGGAAAGCTTTACTATTCAGAAACTTTGTAGTATTTCTTGGGATGTCTTCACACAATAATTCATCAATATAAAGCATGTTAAAAAGTGAAGACAAACTATTAATTTGAAAACAAGTTACAGTAGACTTGCAGAGTACGTATCAATCGATGATCTCAGCAATGAAATACTCCTAACATAAACTGGAATCTGATTGGACTAGCTCTGATATCTGTATTAAAGAACCATGTAAACCTTTTGAAGGGCATTCATTATATAACCGAATACCGAGGGTATGAACAATAATAATCAGTTTCCAATCCCTCTAATCTACAATTTATGTCCCAAATTACCTTAAACACTGTATGTTAAATGGCGAAACCGAAAAGTAAGAATTTTGTTTGAAACTCTTAAGGTATGAATAATGGTTAGTTCATGAGAAGCCTAGTGTACAGGATTTTGTAAGTAGGCATTGTCTGAAACAGTTTTTTAGGAAAACATTTATCATCTTACTTTAGTTAAAACATCTTCAGTTTATTCAGTAGTTCAGCTACGATGCAATAACAATAGAAATATTGAGACTTGTTACTTCAGGTTGTTGATTGGTTTGGACCGTATTAATCGACTTCTGTTGGCTTATAGGCTCCTCTATGGTTGTGTCCACATAACGGGCGATTTCATTTTGATGTTAGGGAGGGATTCTAACTATCAGTGCGATCCAAGACATGCGTTTCTTTCCAGTGGATACTACTCTGGTTTTGAAGAGAGACAGAAAGAGAGAGAAGCTTTGGCTGATAATGTTGTCTAGAACTACAATGAAAGCTTCACGAGTAAAGCATCCATTTAAGAGAACACAATACCATCAAAATGATATTTTTGTCGTCCATTTCTCCTGCTTTCGAATACTGATACTGTCAATCAGAAAAGACAAAATTTTTCCAGTGAAATATGTGGCTTTCTTTTGTTGACTGACAGTTGTGAAGATGAAAGCAATAGAAAGTTCCAGCTACTTAGTAATCGAAGCATTTGACTATGTAAATGAGAATTATAGAACACTCAGATTCCCAAAACTTCAACAACCTGATCAACTCGTTTAATCCAAATTGAAATTCAACTGGATAGGAAATCGAAAGTAATTGGTCAATATTCCAACTGAGCTCATCCGTGCGAATTTAGCAAATAATCTTTAATTTCTCTTGAGAATTTGTGCATTAATTTGTACAAGGTATTTCATAAAACACTCCTCAGATTCAAAGACATGCTTCAAAACGTCGACTTTCAGACTTATCTTCACTTACAACAAATGACACATAATATGAAAGTATTTTATGCGAAAGGCATACTAAAAATGTTTACAATTTTCATGACGTTCAGGCAACACTTTCAACTTCCAATAACTAATCAGAACTACGCTCCTCCACTATGATGACCATTAATTTTATTCAGTTCATGAAGCACTTGATTTCTTGAATCCATAGAAATTTTTGAGTTATTCACAAATAATTATCGATTTCCAACTCTCCTGATCTGGTCCTGGCGCAATGCAGATTAATGTGGGAATCTTGCATTATCCATGTGACCTAGGTCTCTGTCATCCTTTTGTCAGTCACCACTGTTGTGGTTACTATGTGCGCAACAGTATTCTTTCAAAACGCATTCCAACATCAATCGGATAACACGAGCAGATATCACCTGTGTTCTACCAGAATGTTACAGGTCTTATAGCAACCAAAACACGCGCGAATCGAACACACGACAATGGCAGGCAAAGTAAAAGACAAACGCCATAGGATTCGAAAAGATGTAATTAATTAAGTTGTTCGCTATTCAACCTATATAAACAAAATTAGTTTCAATATTGACGCGATATTGGTACATACAGCATTCCTCAAGTTACGTTGAGTATATATACAACAGAATTTTATTATTACTTAAGAGATGAAAATCACTATGGTTCGGAGATATTTTTCTTCCCTTCCACCCGGTTATTAGGTTAGTCGATGGACAGTGTAATTACTGGCATGCGAGCTATTCAGAAAGAGTTAATAATCACTGTTGCAGTGCAAGTAACTTCATTTCTTTATGACGACTTTCCAAACAGCAAATCATGAGCTTATAAACACAAAGAATGAAACCTGTTATGTATGCATTCTATTTGTATTGATGGACATACTGTGGAGAGAATGTTTCAGTCGGCTTGCCGCAAATTCGAAAAATGAATATTTGGGTGAGAAAATATGCATCATTGTGTGACGGATTCACTTCCTTCTCATTTTATCAACTTTTTCTGAAATGCATTTAACTTATGTTGTGAAAGAAATGTGAGTTAGTCATGCAAAAATTAATAAATGGTCTCAGTGATAATCTCGTTTGTAAGGCTAGTGTGTGATGACTTTCATATATATGCATCTCTATTTAAACTATTTGTCACTAAAACACATGTGTCTTTAGCATCAGTAAATGTTACGCTTCCTCTGAAAAAAAAATTGAAACCGAAGTAATCATCCGTTTCATTAACACCACAGTAAAACTGAAGACTTCGGTAGGGTTTAAGTCCATTTAACCGGATGCAGCTTACATTTAAATGGTACAATTTACTGGATATGAATACTGACAGTAAACTCTGTCCGATAAGTTCTGCATCTAGTAAAAACTACTGTACCACTGTGTGATACACGTAATGAACAAACTGAAATGAAATCTTCTGGTAACTTCTAGTCACTGCATGTATTTATCATGGAATACGTTTCATTTACTAGCCAAGGGTATTCTACATCCTGGAGTAGATCAGACACGTCAGGAGATACATTCGAAAATAAAGTGTTTTCAACTGTAAGTTGTTAATTGGAATTTATTTCCATCTAAATGGAGTCAAGATGACAGTGTAATATTTACTACTGACTGATATTTACACCTGCAAACCATTAAAACAAACGAAGCGGTAATACTTGCCTAGTAGGTTGAGTATATTTCAAAGTGGAGCATCGAACTCCATATTTTGAGCAGTGAACCATTTTCAATGTATCCTGTCTCATGCAACTGATGTAAGCGTATCTTGAAAACACTTACTTGTGTCTTAATATCAATAAAATGGTTCTCAAAGGTGATAAAAATCCACCTCACGAAGGAGGAGGAAGTCAACAACATAATTTCATCCTCAGATGTCGTCATCAGCAGAACACACAAAGAGTCTTTGAAACCTCAAGTACACAGAAAATTCCAAGACATAGATCAAATTTTCAACTACAACAGCAGTCATCCTGCAGTCCAAAAGAATGTCTGCAAACAGTATTTATTCTAAAGAGCTTAGACACGTTGCGGCACTGAAGCACTCACTGTCAAAAGTGGATGAAAAAGTGTTCTAAGCCAGTAATTATTCCAGACAACTTTGTCAAGGTATGTTGATCAACAGAATTAAGGAAAGAGCAATCACCTTGAATCAATAGGTGCATTATTCTACCATACATCATAAATGTCTCAGAACTGACAACTGTTTGCTTTGTCCGTTCAGGATTTGAATGTCACGCAAGCCAACGCAATCATTGGATGGCATATTGTCCAAGCCAAAGGATCCGTTGTCAAATATAATCTACAAAATCAACTGTGATTAATTAGCCTAACCATGTAACTGCTCAAAGAATTCACTGGCAGTGACTAGCAGTCAATTGACACGACGTAACCTTCTTGGTTTCAATACAACCAGCCGATGACGATCACAAATACGACCGAGCTAATGCAAGAATTCCTCAAAGAGAAGTAGCCACAGCTGTAAGAGTATGTCTAGAAGCATGGCATTCCAATAAAAGTCAGTCTATAAACGCGTGGTGATCGCTTCAGTTCACACTCCAATTAGGAAAGAAATAGCCATCCACCATTCAAGTAAGCGTTGATCAAGGAAATCAATAATGAGACAGAGTGTGACATTAATGTAATTAGTAGCACAATACCAATCTAGAGGCGATTATCTGCCAGCGTGGCCAGATGGAGTGCCCAGTCATGGAGGTTAGGGTGTAACAAATATTCCTCCTCTAATTTACAGCCAGAGAACACCGGATGCCAGTAAAAAACACCACCGAAACATTTGTGTTACACCTGAATATCTTTCAGTTCTTCATGAAATAAGTGTTGAGAATGCAATCAATTTCTCTGATGCCGCATCCCTGACAAATAATCAATGGTCAGAGAACAAGAAAACAGAAGTATCCTTATTCTGAGCTATGAGTCTTTGTCAACATATAAAGATCATTCATGTTCTCTACTTATCACTAATAATAACTCCATATTTCAGATTATTTTGCCAAATGCATACGAATAACTTCCATTTCAAATAAAATGTATAAAACTCTATCTTAGTCTGTTTATTAGAAATTTCACAGAGTGAAACAGTATCATTTACTGGATAACATTTCGGACATAATTTATTATCCATATTCATATCATTACAGTCTACGCACGTTTTACCCAAGTTTTACTCCTATATTAGAATGTGCAAAAGTTTAGAATGATTAAATTCACATGAAATTACACGCCTAGATTTATTTTAACGTTCTGATTAAATAGATTTTTGGAAACTGAAAACTGTGACATCCATCAATATCATTCTCGTTTCTCAATTAATTCACGTCCTGAAAACATTTGAATTTACATGAACGAGTCTTACCATCCATCCTCTGGAGTATGTGTGACAGTCACCATGTTGCCTCAATCAACTAAGCATAGGCTTGATGAGACTGAGTAAGTAATTCAAAATTACACGCTGGCTAAGTCTTTGGTCTAAAGTACAGAATATCAGCAGATGGCACAATCACCAATTTTGAAAAAGTATAGAACGAAGAATTAACTTAGTAATCTTACGTAAACAATTGAAGTTGAAATCTAAAAGGATATTCATATTATGCGCAAAGGTGAATGCTGCAGAAAAAAAACAATGAAATCAGTAATTCTTTGTAATATGATTCTTTGAATGTTTCGGGATATAGAATTTCCGATTTTTCATATCAAAATGACTGTACTTTGATTCAGTAAGAAAAGAGACATTGGAATCTCTGATCTTCTTAACACAAGTGGTATTTATTAGGCTAGCGTTTATCTTTAGTGTCTCCGAATAAATTGAAAGCTTATTCGAAAGAAAATTCAGTTAGCCTGTTGCAGTAGTCAGTCATGAAGTTATACACAATTTTCGCTGTCTTGTTGTATGTCACTTACAACCACGGATTAAAGCTGCCCGAAGTCGACTTCGAGTCGCTTTCGGAGAAGATTGTTAGCTATGTGAACAGTCGAGTAAGTTGAAGTGTAGAACATTCTACGTTAGGCGATTGTCTAGTCTCACTTTACGTACACATAATCTTATTGAAGAGGCCAAAAATAAGGCAGTAACTTTCCCGACTCGAACTTCCCTACCTTACGATATATTTCGATTTAAAATTTGAAATCGCACACTCATCCGAATTTCTTTGTGAAGCTAGAACTGATATGTACAACCAATCGACTATAAAATATCTCATGAAAGCGTCTTGGAAGTTTATCATAGGTTCTGGAATCATTTTGGCTGTATCGTACTCAAGATGGTGAAAGGATATATATGTAGGGGCAGATTGCCTACCAACTAATCAAATGAAGTCATGTGATTCTGAAATGTCAAATAATCGGTGTATGTTTACATTAGATATGTGTGCAATTCGATTCTGAAATGATGTAAGTGAGGATGAGGAGGAAGGTGGTTTGGTGTTCTCTAAGCTTTGATATCTATTTCGTGAAGGTTTCATCACCAGGCCTAATAACATCTTCAGCATTTAATTGATAAAGAGGTTAGTGCTGAAGATGTCACTATGTCTGGTGAGGAAACGTTCACGAAAAAAATGTAATTAGACTCGTTCGCTTGCATAAATCAATGTGTGAAAATAATTTCTAATGTCTGATTGAACTTCTATAGCCAGAAATTGGTTGGAAAGCTGAACGAAGCAAGAGTTTAAATGTTAAGAATATTGCACGACACTTCAATGAACGAAGAAAAGTGAGAAGACGTGCAGATATCACCAATTTGAACACTGTGTCATATCAAAACCTACACATAGATCTACCTGAAACATTCGACGCGAGAGAGAATTGGCCTGCCTGTTCAAGCATAAGAAACATTCCAGATGAGGGTAGATGTGATGCCGCCTGGGTAAGTCTTCAGTACTTAATTTTCTGCACATTTTCTTCAACGAAGGAAATCGAAGTTGTCTGTTGTGAAATGTTGACACCTGAAGAGTGTACTGGAATATCTGGGTTTTTGGTTGGGATATGAATTGAGGAACTTACATTGACTAGTAAAATACTTAGTGTTTGAGTGTGGGCTTGATGGTTTTTTTATACAATGCTACTGAGGTAATTGTTTGTTTGACTGTCCCACTCGCTTTCATTAAGTTTCAAGTGTTCCTCATTTAAATTGAGTGCTTTCACTAGACTGCTGATTCATGATAAAACTTCATCGCATTAAATCTATGTGTATGCTGAACAAGGAATTGTTTCGCACTCACTTGTACTCACTCCCACATCCTATATGCATTCACAGCTTAGCAATTCAACATATTTTGTTTTCAGCTGATTGTGTCATAGATCTTAAATACTTCTGTAGGTGTACATCTGATCACTGTGTCTTGATGTTTGCTTTCAGTGTTTCAATCTTTAAGCTAATGTAGGTGAGATGACATTTAAGACATCGACATCAAGTTTACACGAATGTTGGTAGGTGATAGTTTAGTTCATTCCTCTTGTTGTGCATATCATACAATGAAATATAAATCTTTTCTGGGTAACATTTCAAACAGGATTCGTGAATGCTTGAATGATTCTGAAGGCGAGTGTGGCAATTGCTGAATCAACCAGTCACATCCTTTTACTTTGTGATAAACTATCAGTGCAGCTGAAATGGAGAAATGGAAATGGTTGGTTATTGCATGAGTTTCTGAAAGGAACTTGACATTCTCTCTGAATGCTTGATTAGCATGGTATATGAGATGGCATTAAACTGGAGAGATGTATGTCATCAAATTGATCACACAGAAGTGGTACTATGGCTCAAGAAATAAACCCCCGAAACTTATTCAAAAACATGTGGGGACCAGAGGTCAAAATATTTTGAATAATGCAGTCATGGATACAAACAACAGTAATGATAATCAGACTAGGGAGAAGGAATTTGATGCCTATGCTTCAATCATACAAAGATGAGATATCAAAAATCCTATATAAGATTCTCAGTGAATACAGGTTTACGGAAGAGTCTAAGTCTACAAATTGACCTGAGCGAGAAAGTGGTAGAGGCAAAACATTGTGAAGACCTTGAGGGATTAGCTGATTGACCTGGACTGTCCATCGTACTGTCGAGTGAATAACTATGAAGTTTGCATTACTTGATTATACATGTGCCAAAATAAATGGAAATCAAGTTTTGTGTAATGGTTTTCCACTAGTGTAATCCACTTTGTTAGGTAGTCTACACACCTTTTATGACACAAAGTCTGAGAAATAAGGAATAAAGAGTTAGTAATTTATTTTATTTATCATTGAGGTGTCCACCCTCATGCCAAATTATAATCCTAACTCTAATTCTCTAGACTCCAATACATAGTTGTTAGTGGGTTAGAGCACTTCTTGGCTTCTCACTGTTCCAAACAACTAGCGATTCCGATTATATGTATAAAGCAGCAATTTGAATGGAGAATATTCTCTACAGTAAATTCTCTTCACGTTCTACAATTATAAAATGTCTTTGTACATACAGTGTAGAAACAAGTTAGTTATGTTATGGGTGGTCAGATTTTCCAAATGGAGTGAGATCTAGGGATTGTAGGGAAATCGATTAATCTTTTTTAATTAGTCAATAATATAATGGGATGAAACATATACAGGAGAATGATATGACGGTGAGTAAAAGGATAACGGATAAGATGTCAGGAGTTGTCTTTATTTTGCAGAAGGTCAATGGCAGAGTAGTGCTTAGACATGTTCTTTCTGAATTCAGAGTTCAAACTTGATCAATCAATCTTATTGTGACAGCTTCCGCTATGTTGAGCAGGCGTTGGCGAGCTACATCTGGTGAATGACAATGAAAGCTTTATTAGCATCCATCTGATGCCCTGTGTCGACTAGATTTGCTAGGACTGAACTTTTAACTACTTTCACCCTCCCCTTTCCAAATCAAATTGATAAATGCTCTCGTATCCGGAGATGCATCTGCCTAATCGTATGCTCTATGTAACTGGTTCGATGGGAACAGTGAAACTGATATATATTCAAGATGAAGAGCTAAGGATGGGTTGGCTATACTTCAGTATCGGATTGGGCATTGACCAACTACAGAATGATGTGCAAAGCCGACCTGCATAGAACTGTTTATTGACTGTTCTAGCTAGGCGTTGTGATAGAATGTCACTAGCCACATCCCCCTTGAATTGTGAGCGCAGAGACAAAGGCTTCTTCTCCACTGTCACCGGTTCTCTTTTAGGACCGAATTAGTTGGTGTTAGTTTTGATGAACTTATCCAGGTATCAGTTTTCACTCAGAATACCAGGGATACACAGTAGTTCCTTTTGCATACACAGCTAGATCTTACTCTAAAAGCCATACTCTGTTTATATCACGTTTGTACTCCATTGGTTTTGAAGCTAAGAGAGTGTGCAAACTGTGTCTTAGATGTTAGTTCTCTGTTGTATATACTTTTGAGTATAGAGTCATGTTTGTTCCTTGTCATTAACACATCAAGAATATGTGTCAAATCACTGATTGCATTTTCCTATGTAAAATGAATTGATGGATGAGCGCTGTTGAAATAAATGTTTCAGAATAGAGTTAATACATATGCACCTATCAAAGACTCAAAACGTATCATCCATGTATCGACAGTACAATTCGATATTGGCAATTGGTAAATATTGAAGCCAATGGAGATCCCATAGCCATACGGTCAACTTGTCTGTACAGATTACTGTTGAAGATGAACTGGACATTCATTGTACATTTTAGCAATAGTTCTTTCAAATTCATAATCGGAATTCCAGTGTCTTTCCTCTCCTTTCCTTTCCTTTCCTTTCCTTTCCTTTCCAGTAATTGTTCACAAATGCAATCGATGTTTTCCATTGAGGGAACGTTAGTTAACAGAGATGTGACATTCAGGGATCCCATGAATTTGTTCAAAACATTCAGGTTTCTATTTTGTCTACAAACTGGAAAGTATCTTTCACGCTATATTTTGCTAACTGGTCAGGCGACGGTTGAAGTAATTGTACTAGCCATTTAGCGATAGCATGGTAAGGCGAACTGGTCATGTCTAAGATAGGGCAAAGAGGCACCTCAGGTTTGTATAGTTTTGGTAGACCATACATCCATGAAATCGTGCTGCCTATAGGCTTCCAATTTTCAAATAAAGTTGATGAAATGTATCCGTCATCTTTCAGTTTCTTTAGTGAGAAGATTAGGTCCTTTCTTGCTTCTCGATTAGGTCTTTCGTTGACTGTAGTTTCTGAAATTTGCTTTCGTCTTACAATATTAAATCCATTTTCTGTACATGGTCAACTCTGTCCGTCATTACGACTCCAGCTCGTTTATCAGGTCTTGTGGTGATGATGTTCTTATCGTTTATGAGTATTTTGAGAGGCTCACGATGTTCTCTAGTCAATATGCCTCTCTCAATAGGAGGCCGAAAGGTGTACCGAACAGAACATATCCTGCAGCTAATTTGATCTTTTTATCTACACACACAACAGCATATTCCCTGGTAAAATTAAGGTCGAAAGATTCTCTTTCTATGTTGCCTCTAATTGTATGTACAAGTTGACTTCCCTTCATCTGTGGTAGTAATTACATCAGGAGAACGGGGAGAAGGATGCACTTCAGATTTTTTGAGCATGTACCAAAAGGATTACGGGTCAGAAGAACAAAATCTGTCAGTACCATTGTCAGTCGGCATCTTGTTGTCATGTGACTTGAAGTAGATACCCCATGATTCCTCTTTCGAGGTCGTCAGCAAACAATGTGAAACTGAATAGACCAAATAACTTAAACTGGAATTGCATCTTCATAAAGAAACAATGATAAATAAGTATTTCATTGCCCTCGTAACCGAATATTTAACTCTCCTTCCTATTCGATGATATCATCTTTTAAATAAAACCCTTTTATGTCTATGTAGAAATTTGGTGACCGTTTCACAAACCAATTTCAACTCATCATGTTATTGCTTAGTTTGTCTGTTACTTATCATCAGCTAACCCATTTTTAGATCATATTCGGTAATCATTTGTTACTACTCATATCATTTTCTCTATCTCTCTGTCGAATTAAATATATCACTGAAACTCCTTAGTATGTTTTGCTAACCTTATCTAGATGTTTGTATTCTTAACTAAGCCATGTCGTTTCTGTTGACCAACTCTCATTCGACTACAAGTAACATGTTTGAATTCTTGTATATCACGTGTAAATATCTTAAGTTGTATGTAGGCAGCTGGCGAACAGCCGACAAAATGAAGAGGAAAGTGTTCGTTTATGTGACATCTTCTAGGTTGTAGGATTCTTATGGTCACAGTTTGCAGCTTCTCAATTCACAAACTGTGCTACTCCATTGCACTTCTCATCTCTAATCAATAAAGTAAAATTTATCCTTACGAGAACACATTGCCAATATTCGACTAATCCACGAAGGTAGTGTTTCATGCATCAGTCATCTGACTACAACGAAAGGCTGTTAGCATTAAGGATGCTAGGATCAAGTGTTCAGATAAGATCAAGCAGAATTAATCATTAACTGGAAAAATTCTGAACAGTGATCTCGAAATTCTTCAGAATGTATCATGAATAACGAGATTCGTTTGTTTTTTATCACAAAAATATGCCATAGTTGGTGTTTAATTTATCAAATTGCATTTCAGGTTTGTATTCATCATGGAGTGATGTCAGTTGGAGAATCATTGGAAAGCTGGGAGCAGTGGACAGCTGTTTCATCTCAGTATGGGACTGACTCTTGAACAGTGCGAACCCGTGAATTCTCCAGGCATCGAAACCAAGTCATTTAGGTCTGCTCCTTTGGCCAGCACGTTACCATTGAGCCACTGGGTTGGAATCCAATGATGCACATTTATTCATTTATTTATCTATTCATCATCCTAGTTTCAGTCATGCAACAATGTCTCGTACTCGTTATCGACCTATTTCTAGGCAATTTCACCAGCTGCAACAATAAGTGACCGCATATGTATTCACTCGAATGGAAGCATTAACGTTGAAATAAGTGCATTTGACATACTAACCTGTAATCACCACTGTTCTCGAGGGTGTGATGGATGTGATCCAGAAGAGGCATGGAAGCAGTGGATGGAGAGTGGAGTGACGACAGGAGGGTCCTTCCAAAGTCGAAGAGGATGTAAGCCTTACCCATTTCCCAAATGTGATCATGTGTATAAGAGAAATTATCCTACTTGTGAAGGAGAATACAGTCGGGTGTCCGCATGCGAGGAAAAATGTCAAGAATCTTACAACGTATCCTATGTTGATGATCTACATTATGGTAAGTGTGCTTTGCTTAATTGAAATTGCTAAATATACTAGGACCGTAGCACAAGTTGGAAGCAACCTTTATTATCCAGTTTACTAACTCTGTGCTCAAAAACAAATTAACTTTGTAACACATTGCTTTAAATATCTACTGAGAAGTTGAACATCTGCTTCAGCTTCAGTGGATGAGTGGTTTTGTCAGTTATGTTTAGGCAGTACCTCGAGAACCTAGATGACATTACAGTGAAACGTCTCACTAGACTTCCACGACGAAATTGACTAGAAAGAGTGGAAACCAGTCCTGTACAAGAATTTTGACAGGAGAATGAAGAACTGAAGATATCGATGACTATCATGAAATAGTGTTTCGTAGCCAATAGCCAGATTCATTCTCACAGCCTCCTTACAAATTACTCCATTTGAGCTCGTCACTGGACAGCCACTCGAATGGACATCTAGAAATGAGGACGATCTCACTGATCATGATGTCTGACGTGATTTCACAACCATTCCTTCTCTCAAACTGGAAAGCCCCAGTCAAAGGACAGAGGGTCTACTGAACTCTCATTGGTTCCAACTTAGTAAGACTGACGATTTCTGGTCTCAGTGAAGGACGTTATTCTTCGTAAGTGCTTCTCATCTAGGCATTTAAATCTTGAACTCTATCTGATACTTGATACTCAAACTGCAGATATTCTGGTAATTTCGTCTAGTTCTGCTTCCGATTCCGAATGAGTAGATCATGTAATTTTGTTCATCTGCATTGCAACCTATGAGAGATGATCGAGTTCACGAGTATACATAGGCTGTGTGGTAGTTGAGTACAATAATAATAAATTCACCAGTCAGTTCACTTCAATTGACTCAAAAAAGCCGGTCGACTGTGAGTTTTCAGAACAATTGGAAATGACTCAATCGACAACTGTTGAACCACACTGCACTCAATATCTATGAGATATCTGACTGCTTACTCAATGTTGAGTTTACTATCTTAGTCTTTCTTCACTGGTGAGTAATATTACTGTCTGTCTAATGGGCTTTTATATCCACTCCTTCTGAAACCGATGGTTATAGTATCACACATACTTACCCATCACATGTAGTCACAGACTACTTAGACGGACGAAGTATTGTTTTGTGAGTAAACTTAGGGTGACCAGGGAAAATCTCTTCACCTCTTTGAGCCATGTGAACAGATTGAAATAACTGACTGAAGTTATTGAGTCATTTGAAGTCATGTGTGTTAAACTGAGTGAAAGAGCACAAACTCCAGTCCAAACACTCAAATTTGTTACCCTCTTATCTTCTGCGAAATTGTGAAAATCTTATCATCACTCGACACTAGCAAAGTGTGTCTTCATTCGTGTCCTTCTTGTTTGTTGAACCACTCCCCTAATTTCGGTCCTCTCTTCAGTCTGTGTATTCGTCAACTGTTAAGGAATGAACCTATACACTTTTGGCGATGTTCTAAATTTGTCTATTTATCTCTATTGGTATGATGTGATGCAATCTCAATGAGATCTATCTTTTTTAATTCCATTGTTTTCACTGAATTCTCCACACAAACAGGATCGAAGATATATTTCGTTGAGGCTGATGAGGAATCCATTCGAAAAGAGATTTTCCTGAATGGTCCAGTTCAAGCAGAAATTTACGCATCTGTTGATTTCTTGTTTTATAAATCTGGAATCTATAAGCGTGTATCCACAGAACTGTTCAGAGTGATTGATGTCAGAATTCTTGGTTGGGGAGTAGAGGACAATACACCCTATTGGTTGTGTGCGAATGTGTGGAATGAAGATTGGGGAGAGAATGGTTTCTTCCGAATTTTACGTGGATATGATGAATCATCTATCGAAGACTGGGTGATAAGTGGAATTCCGGCATTCAACGTGCAAGAGTCAAGTAGTGAACATATTTTACAGCAGTGATTTCATGGAACTGACTACCAGTTGTCTTCAACTGTCTTTCCGAACAAATTTATTTTGATGGTTTATTCATGCTTTTAATTTTATATTCACCACTTCGCTATGTTATATCCAAATGCTTCAATTCTTTTACCCAATGATTACACATAAGTGTTAACTTCATTGTTTTGATAATCACCCTACTCTCTATGTCTTATTCATCGCTGTTAGGATTACTAGATCAATAGCAAGAGCGTCGGCGCCGATTAGGCTGATGTGAAATTTTCGATCATCAATGTAATTCTCTGTTCCACCTTCTCGGAATTTGAGGAAGATTTATCGGTTAAGATGTCTATCACTACGATTATCACATTTGATAATTTTACTGGACTAAATCGCGCACGAGATCTTAAGTGTTTACTTCAGAGTAGTACAGCTGTCCAATTCTGTCTGGTTTTCAGTGCTTTTACTAGTTGATGTCGATCGATCGGATTCACTTGTTCTAATATGAACCTTTCACTTGAATAAACTACATGCTTTGAAAGTAGTTCACACCAAGAATTAAGGTAATTTAGAGGATAATTGAAAACCTGAGACCACTGGGAAGCTCCTCCGTCCTAGTTCTGAAGTCCTTAACATTCCACATCCATAATCTCGTGAGGGATCAAACATTTGAAGTGCAGTTCTCTTGGCACGTTTCTTGAAATCCATCTGGTGGAGTGGGATCAATGCACCCACATTTGTCAACTTTTGTCCATTCAGTATGTATAGGGTGACCATAAACCCAATTTCATACGTATGCATCAGTCCTTACATCTAACTAGTTAGCAGTTTCGTTTTTCACTCACAACTTCATTATCATTTTATTGTTTGGATTACCACGCTCCTAATCATGTATGAGGGAGGAAAACTTGGTGTCATCTCACCCTAGAATCTAGTTATTAGTGAGCAGATATGCTGTGGTGACTCAATATTCTCGATAAATAACAGTCCAATAGGGATGTGATCAGATCTAATTCATTTACACTGTTCTCCAAGTTAACTTTACATTAATACTATTAATGCTTCACTAGATTTATACTCTCAGAGTGAAGATATTTATTGATTCAGTTACTTCATTCTCTTGATGTAGCATAACAGGATGAGAGAAGAAGACCAATATTTGTCATTCAGTAACAGATATAAAACAATGAGGGTAGTTTCAAAGGCTTTAGATGCGTCAGAGCCGATTTTCTCACTTTTGTCTAATACGATTGGTTATTGGAACACCGTAAGACCTTAGTTTAATAATACTCATGCCAATAAAACTCACAGTCAAACGACTTTGGATGATTAAGGAAATACAAAAAATTTATTTGACTTCCTTAATGTAGGAACAAAACGTACGTGGGTACTGTGATACATTTTAATTCCATTTTAATCTGTTCATTAGAAATGTCACACAGTGGATGCAATCCAATTTAACTGTAACTTGGAAGGTGACGAAGTTGAACTGGCAGTGTTAAATTGGGAGATTTAGCGAACACAAAACGGAAGTTTAGAGACTAGTGTCCAGAGGAAACCTCACCATTCAGATCTATACCCAGACTTCAGATCCGCCTATCTCATCTCAGTTAAAGTAGTCTTAGTTAAGAGCCTGAGCGAAAGAGCGAAAAAGCTTAATGGTAGGCCAGAAAATCTACGACAAGTAATTAGGTACATCGGGAATACTTTGAGTCTGAATAAAAACCCACCTAGATTTAAAAATGAATTTATAAGAAATCGAAGGAAAGATATTAGCAGTAGTAGTGAAAGTAGTAGTAGTCGTAGTGAAAGTAGTAGTAGTAGTAGTAATTCAGGTGTTACTAATAATAATTCTACTACTAATGGTAATAATGGAGACAGGGTTAGAAGAGAATTCAAAGCCTCTGCGGTGTTACTATACAAGGAAGGCACCTGAAAAGCACTACCAAGAATTCTCAATAAGGTTGGGTGTGATTAAAGTGGTATTTAAAGCAACCAACTCGCCTAGAAACAAGCTTTGTAGGTTAAAAGATCCTATCGATGCAATTAAGCAAAATAATCTGGTTTACCAAATCCATTGCAATGAGTGCCAGATCAGATACATAGGTCAAAGAAGTCGAACAGTGTCGATTGGAATAACAGAGCACAAAAACTTAGCTAAATCAAGATTAGTTGGTCCTAACAGAATAAGAAATGTAGAGAAAAGCTCGGCTACAGCTCTGCATGCGATGACACACAATCACACAATAGGGTGGGTGGGATAGAGAGACAGCTTTAAGAAAAATTAACTTAGTTGGGTGGACAGCTCTCCTTTAAAGAATACTAACCATTTCACTCCCATGTTAACTCACAATGTACATTAAGATGTGCCCTTCTGTCATCAACAGAAACACAGTTACATGACACTAGGTTGACTGAATCAAACATTGAACACGATTTATTGAAAGGTTAGTAAGATGTGCATATCTGTATTAACATTTCGTGAAATTTTGCGCTTCCCATTTACACTCCAGTGATGATATTTATATGCATATAAAAACATCTCTTCTCACTTGATGCTTTGTTATTTTATGTAGCGAACAAACCTGCAGACTTGATTTAACAACTGTCCTCATACTACATCTCGTCATGAATTTCAACACTGACATGTGTGCACTTCTAGTGCTCTGATATGACTACACACAGCCATCTTCATGACCATAGGATTCAAACTCATATGTAAAGCAGTCTTCATAGTTGTGAATTAACTGACTTGGCATGCCTGACAACACCAGTGTTTTGATGGAGGAGATTTTGTTGACAGCTTGATTTCCTGACCATCGAACTATTATGTGAATGATCAGTGACTGCATCAGAAGTCACTGAAAGACACCTGAAGAACTCAGACTCTCTTGCCGATTGATACAAACTATGCACACCAGGTCACTTCTGACCTCCGAATTGTATGATGAACAATTTGCGAATGATTAGGAAATATCATGCTTCATGTTGACATTCCTTAAAGCCAGGTGGTTTTTCATCTACTCAACTGTGGTGTCAACATGATTTCCATTGGAATTCACCCAACAGCAAAGATCAAAACTGTGATGTCTGATATAAAAGTGTGATGCGATAGCGAAACATGCTGCTAGGCAGTTGAAAAATCGCTCAATGTGGACGGTGAGATTTACTCATCATTCGCAAATTGATCATTCTCTTCGTGTTGTAGCAGTCACCTCAAGTCAGCTAGTCAGATGCAGTTGGTCTGAACAACTTGGCTGTATGAGACGAATGCATCCGTGTACACCAGTGATGATCTCGAAGAGAAATGTGTTGAGGGGTTGTACAGTGCTTCGGTCACTGTGATCTGAACGTTAAAATGTGGAGACCAGCATGAGTGGTTTCTGACTAATTAATTTGTCCAGCAGCAGTATATTTCTTCAGATTGTATTTATAAGCGAAGTATATACTTTTTAAATTCCAAAGAAGTAGATAAATAAATTTCTGATGTTTCACGACTTTGTGGAAATCACTTCTTCAGAGAGTATAACTTGTACAGGTTGCCGAATGTTTAAATTCTAAATGGTGATAAGTTTGACATTGATCTGTACATGTTGCTAGTATGAACATGAATGTTATTGTTATGTTGGTCAGGAAGCGTTCAATCATGTCTTTGTTATTCATTACTAGTTTGGAGTTGCAGGTGATGTGAATATGTGTACATGTGACTGGGTGTGAATGCGTTAGAAAAGTGTTGTGGATGGCAAATTCCATTTGTATGTGTGTATGTACTTTTGTGCTTATCATAGTATGTGATGCGGTGTTCTTGGAAATACTGTCCAGGTTGGTTGGATAGTTAGGACTTCCTTAGGATTCAATATAATTGCCCATCCATAGCATTTTTCTTACACATTCACACCCAGTCACGTGTGCACATGTTCACATCACCTCGAACTTCAGACTAATAATGAATAACAAAGACATGTTCGAGCGCTTACTAACGGGTGACTTTAAAGGCCACTCTAGCAACTGATAAGACAGCCAATTACATTCCTTTATTATGTGTGGAAGCACTTTTCCAGACGAAATACCGAAAACTGATTGATCATTTCACCAGTTGGCCAAGGTGGCTTTTAAAGACACTCCTTCCGACCAATATAACAATGACATTTATCTTCATACTACTAACATGTATAGACAATGTTAAACGTCTCGTCTTCAATTAGAATTTAAACATTCGATAACTTATACTGACCTTATTCTCTGAAGATGCAATTTCCACGATGTTATGAAATGTCAGAAATTTATTTCTCTTATTCATTCGAATTTTACAAATATATTTCATCTGTCATCCATTCACCTAATGCTCAACTTACTCAACTCGATCAGGTCAAATTTTGATCCTGAAGTTTGTAGATTGTATTTAGTTGCAAATCGCTTATTCGTGGATATTCACCAACACTATCACTCAGCACTACTCTGACGTCATCTCGATGACTGATCAGTCATGTTGAAGTTCAGTGGATCTAGTTAGTTGAGTATCAGGAAGTAAAGTAAGTCTTTTACACCGATCATGTAAAGCTGACTGCAACAGCTGAAATCCAATCATCTTGACCTGAACGTGGGAAACAACTAGGCAATGCCGACTAACGCGAATCTGACAAGATCCTGCGTTCTACTCTATAGCTTGTGAACTTCCGCGAGTGACGCACAGTTAAAGGTTGCATCAAAAATATCAAAACACGGTTAGTGATAGATTCCTAACAAAATCTGTGGTACTATCAAAGCAATAATAAGTTATACGAAAATTACAAAAATACCTCAACAGTGCCGTTGAGTAACTAACTATGCAGTCCAAACGTTTTCGGGCACAAATACGTACTATACGGTAAAAACCGTCTAAACAAATACAACTGTTCAGTACGTGAGAGTCAATGAGAATGTTCCCGACAAAAGGGATCAAAAACTCTGTCTACCAGAATCGAATCAACAAATAAACGTTTCCAGTAGCCAGTCAAAAGGTAAACAGTCGAATCACAGTA